CTAGGAGTTACAATCCTATATTTGTGTTGGTAATAGTGTGCAGTAGAGATTGAAAGTGTGTATTATAAAAGTTTATGTGTAGAATAAATCTAAATCGAGTATTGATATTATTATTTTAAATAATTAAAAAAATTTCCATTGGCTAACTTTCATTTAACCATATAAAAATAAAACTCTAATTAGTTTATGATTTATTTTATAATCTCACATCGGGAGAAGAAGAAAAAGCAAAATTTGTTTCACTATCTATATATTATAGAAGGAAAAACGAGTTTTTAGGGAGAATCCTTCTATGAGTTCCAAACCTTCATTCTAAAATTATTGAATTTTCTTAATTTTAAACAATTAAGAAAATTTATATTGATTAGCTTGAATTTACCTTTTATTTTATAATCATACATCGGAAAAATAAAGAAAAAGTGAATTGTTTCACTTATATAAAGTAAATGTTATACTCACATTTATATCAAGAAAATAAGATTTTTAGTGAAAAGCCTTATGATCAATATTCATACTAATTTTTTTGATTTTCTTAAATTGAAACAATTAAGAAAATTCTCATTGACTAGTTTTCATTTAACTTTTATTTTACAATCCCACATAGAGATTTTGATTTTAAAAATAATTTTGTATGAGCTTTTGAAACTCTCATAATAAATCTCCTTAAAAGTATTCTTTTATAAAATATATAGATATAGATATAGATATATTGATAATCTCAATGTCACTTTTACTGCCTCCTTAATATAAAAATTACGAGATAATAATTTTAAATTTGTATTTAAAACTTATAAATCATGAGATAGATTATTATAACTTGAAATTTATATTGTGTCAATTTTAAATTTGAATTAATAGATTACTTTTTATATTTAGTGACAGTTTAAATTTTAATAAAATAAAATTTAAAAATTTTAATTAATTAATTTTTGTGTAAACTGGTTTGTCTTTTGACCTAACTGATTAAGCTAAACTATTTTTAGTTTGAATGATTTGCTGATTTAACTGTGATTTTAATGATTTTACATGTTACGATGATTTTTTCTCAGTTATTAAGTTCTTAAAATTTCTTTAATTATTTCGTTTTCAAAAACCAATATGACAATTTTTTAAAATTCATATATTTTTATTCTAAAATAATGAAATATTAGAACAATGTCATTTTTTTTATAACAAAACATAATTTTAATTATTAATTGTCAATACAACAATTTTAATCTATTTATACTATATGTTATAGTAAAAAAACATTTAAAACAAAACCTTTAAACTTATATATAAAATTTTATTTACGAGAAACAAAATATAAAAAAATTAAGTATAATTATCATACTTTTTATAAATAATATATTATTTTATGTCGTACATAACACGAGTGATAGGCTAGTTAATATTTAAATGAAAGGGTCATGTGGTCGTATCTCTTTACACCTTTTTTGAAATCTTAGCTTCTATTTTCTCAATCCCATATTGCAATTACAGAAAAGAAAAGCTCCAACAATACAAGACACAATCATACACTTTAGTTGAGTTTACAATTTTGCTACGTAACTCGACTTTTGCGTGACTCGAGTGGCCCGACTTTTAACTTTTCAACCTCTCTCTCTCCTCGGATCCTTTCCCTCCTTCCTCTGTTCTCTTCTTCTTCTTCTGTTCATCTCCCTCTATTCATCTCCTTTAAGATTTTCAATAGATCAAAATCCATTATGGCAAATGAACCACATCAACACAACCATCAGAGTATCTATGTTCACTAAGAATTCACAATCACCAAAATGTAAACTCAAAGCACTAATCTTTCATAAAAATTGATAAATTATTGCAAAAAATTCCAAAAATCAAACCCAATTAATGGGAAGAAAAAAACCAAGTGATCTAGTTTATAATGCAAACTAAACCTCGATTCAAACAAATAAATCAAGAAATAAACAAATCAATGAAGATGAAGAGTTCAAGGGAAAGAATGTTCGTCTTAAACCCATCCACCCACCGGCGCTGTTGTCACAAACCCATCACAACCCTCCTCTGTCTTCTCCTTCTCTTCTTCTCTCTTTCCTCCTTCGCTCCTTCTTCTGTCTGTTTCAGAGAGAAAACAAAGGAAGAAGAGAAAAAGAAAAAGAAAAACTATCCAAAACGACATTATTTTGGGTAGTCGAGCCATTCAAGCCAATATGTTTCGAGCTACGAAACATTATTCTTGAGTTTAAGCCTGCATGGTGTGCTAGCAATTGTAACATTGTCTTATCCAGATCTAGTAGTGGCATATATTTACTAATTTTGTTTCGAAGGAAAATATTTATATATATATATATATATATATTTTGTGTGTGTTTGTTTTAGAGTTTGATATAATAATAATGGAAGTTAATAGAAAACCAATCAAAAATAGATTTATTTGCGTAGAAAATATTTTTTATTTTTTAAATGTGAAAAACAATTTTGAGTAATGCCACCCTATCACTATAACCACCCACCAACACCATTGCCACTATCACTGCCCCTAACACCTTTGTTGAAAAATATTTTATATCAAAATAAATGGACAGTAAATCTAATTCAAATTTATTTTACTCATTCTATCAAATGTACCTAGCATAGCCATCAATGTTTGATAGTACTAATAAATGATACAGAGAAGAGCATGTTTTCTTCTGATGACCATATTCTATTCTCATCACTGCGTAATGCAACTTCACCTTACTAACTGAAAAATAAATAAATAAATAAATAAACAGGATAGATGCTGATATTTAAGATTTAAGTAGTTCGGTAAATTACATTGACACGCATTTGGGAAAAAAATATATATATTTAAATCAATGTCATACTCTTTTAAAGTTTCAATTAACATTGATATAATTTACCATAAGTAGCTGTATCCTATAGGATTGTTATACCCTAGTTTACTTCAAAGTTCAAGAATGTAAGCCACAACTCACAAGAAAAATATGAGCACAATTTTGGCATGCTTCTAAAAAATGATGGGGAGCTCGGTCCAGAGGTCCAATTTATATTTTTATAGAGCATAGATGCAAGGACTTTTTTGTTTGGATCACAAGGACACGCATTAATTTATTTGGGCCTCCAAGGACAATGCTAGCTGTACAACTTACACCCAAACAACTTCTCTCTCTTCAAACCCTTCTGAGCAACCCCTCTCTCTTCAAACCACTACCGGAGGAGTAGAGATGGAGTCCGATAGAGACGCCTCCAACAGGTGTGCACGCCACAAGTCGGCTTTATTGCCACAGCCAGAGATGAATCGGAGGCACAGTTCTCACCACCATGACCCACCGCAAAGCAGACAAACCCTCTCTCTTATAAACACAACCCATGTTCTCTCTCTTCATTACTCTAAAGCCCCATTGATTGTCCGGATTGGATATAAGGATTTGAGAAAGATATGTAATATTTAAGAATAAATATGAGATATAATATATTGTAGGATATAAGATGTATTATACATACTATGGGATCACTTGTACTATATTTTATTAAGATAGGATATAAGTTGAGATAAAAGGAGGGTGATTATTTTTTACCTTTAGATGAAAAATGAGTTATATTCGACTGTGGGAGATATACAATACTATAAGAGTATTACATATCCCCCATTTTGCATCATATACTATCCGAACTTCCTACATTCAAAGTAACCAAACACGAGATATAGGAAGACAAAAACAAAAAAAACAAAAAAAACATGTAAAACTCGCCTCATATTATATCCGGTCCCACATTCATATTCAGCCTTTATATCCAGTAAACAAAGAGGGCCTAAGCTCCAAATCTCTCTCTTTCTCTGCAGTCAGTCCCTTTCTTTAATGTCCAAACATCATGTCATCTTTTCTTTCCTCAAGGCGATTGAGCAAAGCCCTAAGTTGTGACCTCCTCCAAGATGCTTCTTTAGTCCTCCTCCAAGATGCTTCTTTAGTCTTTCCAGACCTGTAAATCTCCCTCATCTCCTCCAATTCCCTCTCCAAATCCAAACCACCACTCAATACTCTTTTTTTTTTTTTTTTTAAACAGTACCACCACTTATACTCAGGTCTTCCATTTTTCCCTGAGAAATTTGAAACCCTCTGTTGCCATATATGCAGATTCTTCTTTAACTACCACTCTTGTTGTCTAGCTATGGTTGCACATGAAATCTCAACTATAATAATGTGGTTTGTTTTGGAAAGTATGTTAAAATCTTTCTTTTTTTTTTTTTTTTGAAGAAGTTAACTTCTTTTTTTTTTTTTTTTAAGAAGTGTAAAAAAATAAAGATATGATATGACCCACAAGTCAACAAAGTTGGGCCTTAAACGTTATGTTTGGCTAAGAGATTTGGGAAGGAAAGAATAAAATAGGTGAGATGTAAATAAAATATATCTACATTTCATCTAGTTTCACATACCTTTTTCCTTTATCTTTTTAAATCTCTTCCTAAATTCTTTAACCAAACCCAACTCCTTTATCTTTTCAAATCTCTTCCCAAATCTTTTAACCAAACCCAACGTAATGGAAACCTCCTGTTTCCATGTCTTTTTTTCCCACCGTGGTGGGGTTTGAGACTGTTCTTCCCAATACAATCTGAGTACATATGAACTTCAATTAGAGAATAGATCAAAACTCACACCAACAAAAAAGGGCAGAAAATGCATACTCAGACTGTTCTTCAATGGTCGATCTGTTCAATATCTCTCCCTCTGAAAAGAATTTCACACAGATAGGTTCAATAAGTTTGGTGAATTTCAACAAATAAATTGAAAAATATCAAAATAATTTGGAAAGATAAGAAAAGATTAAGATAAAAATTTCAACGATAGAATAAAATAGACTTTTGACCAACAAATGTCCGTATCACCAAATAACATTTTCTATTAGATCTAAATATCTTATACCCTCTTTAAATTAAACTTTTCACCAATTATCCCAAAATGATATCCACACAAAAATTTTATATAAAATTTAAGATTAGAATGATGTTGTGATAACATTATAGTAACCATGAACAATAGTAATAAACATTTTGACTTCCAATAAATGGATATAAATGAGACATATTTTAATATTTGTATAGAAATATAAACACACCCATGTGGTTCAGACTAATCCATTTTATAGTGATACAAATGATTAGATACATGCAGCAATGTAACACCAAAAAACAAAAAATGGGGCCTTGATAAGGGAAGGTGAGTAGTAGAATATCTCAATCATAGATCATGACTTCTGTCAGGATTGGATGAGAATTGTAAAGCAATGTCTTTGAAGATTTGAATCAAACCCTTCAGGTCATCGTTTCCCAATTCAAGGCAGTCCCTTAGTAACTCACCCTCCACCACCTCTTTTTGTACTGTCTCCACCACTTCCCTCAGAGGCCCCTGCCAATTCCCCATCGCAAACACCATTTAAAAGAGGAAGGTAAAAAATAAATAAATAAATAAAAGTAAAAAATAGAATGGTAATGGCATTTAGATATTATAAATGTGACATTTTATATAACACTAATACACAGCACGATATTTTAATCTAAAATGAATTAAATAATGTGATTTGGTATCGCTTCATCACCACAATATTACTTTTTTTTACTTTGGTTTTGTTTGTTTTTGTTTAGCCAAAAATGTAAGAGGGGAAAATTACCGTAAAACAAGTTGAGGAACAATTAGCTTATAACAACTTCAGTGCTCTTTAGTGCATTTTATTGTAAATTAAAAATTGATAATATAAAAACTGAACCCAAAATCAACATTAACCCAACTTTCATAAATCAATTTTTTTTAACTTGTTTAAATTATTTCTGCCTAATAAATTATAAATAAAAACTGTGCCTAATAAATTATAAGTAAAAATTGTACCAAAGAGTGTAGCACATATTTCAAAAAAAACAAACAAACAAACAAACAAACAAAACAAACAAACAAACAAAAAACTAGAAGTAGCTCAAATTAGTCTCTATTATGATCATAAGGGCTCTTATCTATTAAGATCATATTTGTTTGAATATTAATATTCATAGAACTTTTTAAGTTTGAAATTATCAATCCTTTTGAATTATGTATCATATATCTTATGTGTGAATGGAAATTAACAAAATTGATCAATCTTGTAATTTAACCAATTAATTCAGAATTTTAAAAAGCGGCCGCAACCATTACCTAACGCCACTACGTAACGATTGTAATGGTTATCGCCACCCGTTACGGCCACTATAGCAGTGCCACAAAAATTCATAACCGTAATAACAGCAACCATTACGTAAAGGTTGTAACATCTGTTACATTGCTGCTATAGCACCATTATGGCAATTACAACCGCTACGCTTCTATTTTTCAATGTTTTACTGTTTTTTTATAAATTTTGTAAATAAGAGCATCTCCAATGCATTCTCCATAACTTCAAATATGAAGGATTTGTTCATCCAACCCATCCTCTAAATCCATCTCTATTTGGCAGGAGGATGAGTTGATCCTCCAAATATGAAGGAAGGATGAAAAATAGAGGATGCCCTCCAAAACACTATTCATTTTATATTTTTTATTATATTATAAATAACTTTTAATATGTAAATTTAATTTTTATAAAATTGACATCATTAAAAAATGTGAAATCATACATTTAAAATGAGTATAATATTAAATATATTTTACAAAAATTTTAAAATTAAATATTTGTTAATGAACAAAAATTACTTTTTGATGAGGGAGGATGAAGGGTTTTGAAGGTTTGTGGTTGGAGTTTGAATGAATAGTAACAGACTCTATATTTACTTTTTGAATAAAAAAAATTATTTTCATCCTCTTGGTGAGAGAATTGGGTTGGAGATGCTCTAATGCTTTTTTCTCTTTTTATCTTCTAGTTATATAGAACTACAGTAAAAATCTTATCTATATATGATTTGAATGTCCAATCTTCTAATTGTACAAGATTTCATTACTTTTTCACTTATATTTGAATATTAAGTTATGGAAAGGTCTGGCAACCCAGACATATCCACCTTGAATTTTCTGGGTGAGTAATTGTGGTGGAGACTAATTTGTATAGTACGGGGTCCATATAGGGTGCGGTGGAGATTAATTTCTAGGTTGATAAGGGTGGGTTTATTTCTTTTATTTTAAATTTATTGAACAAAATATATTTTTTATTTAGGGTGTTCAGGCCAAAAATTCAAAATTGGATTTTTTTTGTCCAAAGATCCAGGCACTAAAACATTATATCCATAAGGATAAGGTTCTACCAAATGACCAAACTACGCTTGTATATATATTATATCACACCCGGTTTTTTCAAACCAAACCTTCTCAAACCGGCTCTCTCTACGCTTCTCTATCCTCCTCTCTCTATCTCCTCTTCCATTTCCAAATCTAGGGTTTTTCCTCCCATTCCGCCACCGCTATCTTCGCCGCTACTCTCCTGCTGCTCTTCCAAACTTTTCCTTCTACACCGTCAACGGTGGCCAACGCGCCATCCTCTTCGATCGATTCGCGGCATTATCGTCGAACCGCTAACGTCCAAATCTATTCAACCATTGACCGCCAAAACATCGTCGATGGTTGCTAATTCCTCGTCCAAGCCAACGCTTGCAAGCTAGCTGCCATGCTCTCCATGCCACACTAATTCATTCAGTCTATCTCTCTCTCGACACACAACATGAACAGATCTAAGATATGAGGTCTCGAATCCCAAACTCCTTCAATCTGACTCGCTGAAGACTTGGAGACGACAATCTCGACGAGTCCAAATCTTGGGCCCTGTTTGTTTTCAGAGATAGATTAGGTGGAATTGTTAGTGAGGAGATTATTAATGAGGAGACTGTTAGTGAGGGGACTATGAAAATTTGTATTTGTTTGATAACCAATAGACTAATAATAATTCCTATTTGCTTTGAGAGATAGGAGTGGGATTAACTAGTAAAATTTCATAAACACCCTTGTTACATTGCTATCAAATTTGGGAATTGTTAGTGAATGAATTATGAAAAATTGTCTTTGTTTGTGATATATTTTAATATTAAAAATTATGTTTTATAACAATATTTTTATAAAACATAATATAATAATATTTTTATAAAACATAATTATGTAATAACGAGAGAACCAAAAAAAAAAAAAACCAAATCAGCCCAAAACCAGTCCATGGTTTTAAACAGTGTATTGAAAGATTTTATTCACTTAAATATTGGTTCATTCATCATCATCTTTGCCTTTTCTGTTCAAAAAAAAAAGAAAAAAAAAAAAAAGCAGAGCTTCGCCTTCCATCAACAGAGCTTTGCCGATAATGTTGCCGAAGAGTGAGAACGAGATCACTGTAATGACGTCGATCATCACCATCAACGACGACAACGTCATCGATCTTCACCGTCAACACGATTTCATTTTATTGGAAATTTTAATTTTGAAAACTATGAAATACCGTTGAGTTAGATGATGCGGCTACATCTTGTTATGCGCAAAATTATCTTTCACACTGTAATACCAACGGCTTCATCTCTAATACCAAGTCCCCTGGGCCTATGCTAATCTACTCGTTGGAGGGGATTCAGAGTCCGTTGGGACTGTGACTTTGTTGGCCAAAAAGGAAAACAAATAGAAACTTAGGGAGGAGGAGCTCACTGTTAGTCCAATCCGAAGGTGTAACTCGAAAAACAAACGGCCCCTGGACTCTTTCTCTACATCGGTTCAATCTCGACAACCTTTATGTACTGTATGTAAGTGATTATATTAAGTTCCTTCAAATCATATTTGAATATATATATATATATACACACACACACATTTATGTTTGAATGCTATGGTAAGTGATTGTTTTTTTAATTTTTATTTTTAGGTTTTGCAGGTGGAGTTTTTTATTTGAGAATTTTAGAGAGAGAGAGAGAGAGAGAGGTTATGATGATTAAGTTGGAATTTCTGTCTCCGTTTTTGTGATTTTTGATAATTTGTGATGTTGAGGGACTCAATTTTGTCATCTGAGTTTCAGAGATTTCTCATTGTCCATTTGATGCGAAGAGAAAAGCAATGTGTACTGATTTTGTTGTTTTTTGTTTTTTTTTTTTGTTAGATCTAGACAACAGAGAGACAGACAGAGAGAGAGAGAGAGAGTAAATTGAACAGATCAGAGTCTCTGTGGTTCTCGAGTCTCTGTTTCTCTCTCCATACAAATTGAACAAATCAGTCCCTCTGATCTATGCCATAATTTAAACAAATAAAATACTTTTTGTTTTATATTTGGTTGAAGTGGATATATTTTTATTCTTGTAGGGGTAATTTTTGTGTTTTCTGTTTGGTTAATGAGAAAATTAAGTTATTTAACAATGAAGCAAATTTACACAGATAGATTCACAAAGATAAGTTTAATAGTGAATTTCAACATATATTAAAATATCAAAATAATATGTTAATAAATAATTTCAACAGATAAATTTATTAAAAAAAATAATATAAATTTTTTTTTTTTTTTAAAAAAAAGGATAACTTCAACAGACAAAATTTTAACAAATAGATACATTTTTTAATAGGTAATTTCAACATATAGGAATTTTGAACAGATAATTTAACCAAATAAAAATTTCAACATATATGTTTTTGTGAAAAAAATACAACAGATAAGTTAAAAAATTCAACAGATAGACAAAAAATTTGAACAGATGGAAAAAAAATTGAACAGATAAGGAAAAAATTGAAGAGAGAGATATAAATTTGAATAGATAGTCCACGAAAAGTCAACAAATAAATTAAGAGATAAAATTGGAAACAAAATATCCTTCAAAACAAACAAAATAACTTCCCACCAAACTATTTCACAAAAGATAGACTTCTCACAAACAAAAAATATCCACTTTACCTAATGTCTTATACCCTCCTTAGTTTGGATTTATCACCAATTTACTCTTTATTTTATGTATTTTTACATTATTATGTTTGTATTTTGAACTTAGGTTTATGAAATTATTATTTTTAATGTTAAATATACTTCTTGTTTATTCTTAACAAATTGGAAGTTATTCATAAGCATAATTAATAAAGTAAAGAAAATTAAATAAATCAACAATAGAAAAATTATCCATTGCGACTTACAACTAATATAAAAATGATCATGTTTTAAAACTAAACAAAAATATTAAAAATCATTTTAAATCTCACTAAAAGTGATTCTAAAATAAGAACATGCGCATCGGTATATTTTTATTAAGTTGTGCGAAAAATTAAAAAATTCATGATTGCCGCCACCGTTATGCTACAACTATTACACCCTGCAACCGTATCAACACCACCACCACACATTGAGTCTCTCATTTTGTGTTCCACCCTATTTTCGGATTCAATAATTCACATATGGGGGATATTATGTACACATGACATCAATTTTTTTATGGCAAGAATAACAAGATTAAATTCTGTAATTTATATATTAAATCATTAATAAATAAATAAAACATCAAAAACAGAATACACACACGAATGTTGTGGGGGGAAAAAAAGTGTTGGCAACAAATTTGGAAGAAACGTACCGATTGACCAAACACTTGAAGAAGTCTCTGAAGCAAAGACCTCGAAACCCTGAGGGCATTTTTGTAATTTCGGCTAACCCACTCAACCCTCTCAGCCGGCGATTCCATCCGAGTCAACTCATTCAAAGCCCTCAACAACTCATTCAAGTCGGACACAGCCCCTCGAACCTCAAACGACGCCGTAAAATCCCTCCAGGAGTAGTTCCTAACGTAGTCCCAACCCACGGACCACATGGCTCCCCAAAACCCTAGACCCGTGGCTCGCTTGAGCTTGGCGGCGATGAGCCTGGCTCGGTCGGAGCCGGAGAGGTCGCCGCGGGAGGCGCGGAGGTTGGCGACGCGAGTCATGAGGGAATGGGAGAGAGAGAATAGGGTTTGGAATTGGGAGAAGGAGAGGGAATTTGATGGGGGTGGGGATGTGATGAGGAGGAGAATGAGGAGGAGGAGGAGTGGCGGCGATGGTGGTGGTCCGGCGGTGGTCAACATTTTTTATTTGACCGGTTGTGTTGGGATTGGTGGTGGTGAGATTGGAAGGGTGTGTTTGGGAGAGTGAGGGAATATATATATATACACACACACACATTTATGTTTGAATGCTATGGTAAGTGATTGTTTTTTTAATTTTTATTTTTAGGTTTTGCAGGTGGAGTTTTTTATTTGAGAATTTTAGAGAGAGAGAGAGAGAGAGAGAGAGGTTATGATGATTAAGTTGGAATTTTTGTCTCCCTTTTTGTGATTTTTGATAATTTGTGATGTTGAGGGACTCAATTTTGTCATCTGAGTTTCAGAGATTTCTCATTGTCCATTTGATGCGAAGAGAAAAGCAATGTGTACTGATTTTGTTGTTTTTTGTTTTTTTTTTTTGTTAGATATAGAGTAGTTAAAAAAAGTTGATGATACAATGATGAATTTATCCACAATAAATAAATAAATAAATTGCATGTTTTAATTGTAATTCCTACAATTGTGATTTTAAGTGATTTCAAACTTCACTTACGATGATGGTCACTTAGATTGACAACATGTATGTTTTGTAATTATTATTTTTTTTCTTTTTTGTTTTGGTTATTTAGAATTTGTATGTGTGAGTGTGGGGGGCAAATTTTAGGATTTTTTTTGTAATTTGTCCTAATATTATTTTATTACTAGAAAAGCTTTGTTGGTAGTATAGTTTTTCAAAAAAAAAATTATTAGTAATCACGTTTTCAATTTGATTACAAATAGTGATTAGCTTTCCAAAATCCTAAACCAAAAAAAAAAAAGAGTACTAACTCAATTCACTGATTTAAGTAATTTATCATGTTTTGAAAACACTACCTTTTAAGGGCTCACAACCTTGTTTAGGGAGCTTTGAAGGGGGCTTGTAAAAAGTTCATTGGGCCTATGTAATACCCACCAGAAAGGGTTCACCCCAAATTATGGGTGATTCTATTTGTAACTAAAAAACTATGAGGGAGTTACGGGTCAGTCTTTTAGACTGGACTTAATTCTTAGGAAGTCCTAACCTAAAATAATTTAGTTTATCTTTCATTTTTATCTTTTACATTCAGTTGAGTGATTTTAATTGAGTAATGGTACAGAGCCCGAATATAGGGGCTCGAATTTGGCTCGAAATTAGGGGGAAGAAGGAGGAGGACTGAACTGGAGGGGCCAACAAAATCCGGCAGAGGTGGAGGTGGAGGCAGAGGCAGAGGCGGAGGTGGAGGCGGAGGCAGAGGTGGAGGTGGAGGCAGAGGTGGAGGTGGAGGCGGAGGCGGAGGCAGAGGTGGAGGCGGGGCTGCGATGCCGACAAGCGACGAGGGACGAGCGACGAGCTGCAAGATCGGCCGACGAGCTGGGACACCGACGAGCTGCGACGACGTCGACCTGCGTTCTCTCTCTCGCCTCTGTGTTCTCTCTCTCGCCTCTGTTAGGGAAGGTGGTTCTACAAGGAGGATGAAGAGGTGATGGAGAAAAAGGGACAACCAGAGATGGGCAGCTGGAACAAAGTGAGGGAAGGGTTCGGAATAAGGTGGGTTGGGTTTAGAGTAAAAGTTATATTTATTTTATATTAATGTAAACGGTGGTGCGATATGTATCAATTAGTGTACTAATTAGTGTACCAATACTAGTTATGATATTATTATTGATCTCACTCATTATGTAAATTATAAATATCAAAAACCTCCTAAATTATGTCATATCATTAATTAGTACATTAATTAGTACATATAATATTATTCTAATGTAAAATGTCAAATAAAGTAATGACGTGTGTTAAAAAGAAATTCAACTGTTAGTCTATTTAGACGAAGATGGACAAATATTTAGAATTGGTATGTTATTGAAAATTTGAAATTTAAATTGATGAAGTTATGAATTTATTGTATTATTCGAGTCAAATTTTAGGATTTTTTTTGTAATTTGTCCTAATATTATTTTATTACTAGAAAAGCTTTGTTGGTAGTATAGTTTTTCAAAAAAAAAATTATTAGTAATCACGTTTTCAATTTGATTACAAATAGTGATTAGCTTTCCAAAATCCTAAACCAAAAAAAAAAAAGAGTACTAACTCAATTCACTGATTTAAGTAATTTATCATGTTTTGAAAACACTACCTTTTAAGGGCTCACAACCTTGTTTAGGGAGCTTTGAAGGGGGCTTGTAAAAAGTTCATTGGGCCTATGTAATACCCACTAGAAAGGGTTCACCCCAAATTATGGGTGATTCTATTTGTAACTAAAAAATTATGAGGGAGTTACAGGTCGGTCTTTTAGACTAAACTTAATTCCTAGGAAGTCCTAACCTAAAATAATTTAGTCCATCTTCCATTTTTATCTTTTACATTCAGTTGAGTGATTTTAATTGAGTAATGGTACAGAGCCCGAATATAGGGGCTCAAATTTGGCTCGAAATTAGGGGGAAGAAGGAGGAGGAGGAGGAGGACTGGACTGGAGGGGCCAACAAAATCGGGCGGAGGTGGAGGTGGAGGCGGAGGCGGGCAGAGGCAGAGGTAGAGGCGGGGCTGCGATGCCGACGAGCGACGAGGGACGAGCGACGAGCTGCGAGATCGGCCGACGAGCTGCGACGACGCCGACCTGCGTTCTCTCTCTCGCCTCTGTGTTCTCTCTCTCGCCTCTGTTGAACTCAACGAAGAAGAAGAAAGAAAAGGAAGAAAAGGAAGAAGAAGAAAAAAAAAAAAATCAAATTCAGGCCCCTAATTTCGGGCCCTCAAACATTATTCTTACTCTAAACCTAAACATATCTCTTTCTCTCTTTACCCTAAACCTAAACATCACTCTCTCTGTCTCTCTCCCCTATTTCTGTCACTAGCATACCATTTCTTCCTTCTCCTCCATCACCAATCATCATCTCATTCTCCTTCATTGCCATCACTGTTGCTCCTCTCCCATCATTCATCTGCTAGCTTCAACATCGTAATCATCTATCATCGATCTACCATCTTCGTCATCGTCCTTGCCACCATCTTCCTCTATCACTGGTTTGGGATGCAAAGTGTCCAATCAGTGCATTGAAAGGTGTTGTTGATCTTCTACAGATGTGTAACTGATCTGATAATTTTGTTACTTAATTCAGTGATAAATTTGTTGTGATGCCCTCCCCTCTCTCTCAAATCAAGTCTGCTATTTGTAAATTTTTTAACAAATTCATCAGTGATAAATTTATTACTAATTTAAACAAATTTATCACTGATTTATCACAAGTTTAAATAAATTTATCACTGATTTAAACAATACAGAGCTCCGAACTCGTCAATGTCGACACACTCATCTCCATTCATGTCGATTTTCTTGATCTCTCTCAAATCTAACATCATCTCTCTCAAATCCAAGGGCCACAGAGACATTTCTCATGTTCACCAACACCAACGAATTCATCAATGGCTCTGGAACTCGTTAATGTTGACACACCCCATCTCTATTCATGTCGATTTTCTTGATCTCTCTCAGATCTAACACCGTATCTCTCAAACCCAAGGGCCACAAAGGCAGTTCTTATGTTCATCAACACCAACGAATTCATTAATGGCTCTGGCAATTCTCATGTTCACCAACACCACTAATTCATCCATAGCTCTAGCAGTATAACAGTAAGGGCAAAATTGAGAAAATATAACATGACTTCCTGGTGCATGAAATAGAAACTTAGGACCTAATGGGTAATAGATTCAATTATTAGGACCGACTGGTAAAAAACCTAAAAATTATTCAATACGTTTAATTTTTCAATACGCTTTATAAATTATTTAGGATTATAATTTACTCTCAATACACCCTATATTTTTTTCACAAATTACCCTTCAAAATAAAATCATAATTTGTGGTATGCTCAAATAATAAACAAATCAATTCAAAAATACTTCCTCCCTTGATGATGATGGTGATTTAGGTTAAAGCAAAGAATGTTTGGTCCGTTGTAACTTTCAATGACTTGCTGTTTAATCTGGAAGAGGTTTGTGAAAGATGAAGCTTTTGTTTACTAGGAGCAAGGGTATGCGTGATGTTGATGTTGTTTTCGGGGTAGACTTATTGATTTCCTATTCCCTGTGTTATGTTAGCTCTTGCTAACATGCCCAGCTCAGTTCTTATGTTATATGTTTGTAGTTATTTGTGTTCTTTTTGATTTGGTGCTTTAGGGGTAGGGGGATGTTGTTTCTGCTTTGGATTGTATTTGGATGGTACATTTGTTATTGCATTTTTATGAAATATTATATTTTTCGCCGATCTAAAAAAAATACTAAGTTTTGGAGGAGTGGGTTGGAATTTTGGAATGAGAAAGAAAATGAAAAAAAAAAAATTAAAACTTGAAAAAAGAAGGTGAAAGAAATTTAAATATGAAGAATACAAATAGGATATACCATGAAAAAAAATATATATATATATTTTAAGGTGTAATGTATATTGTCCCTATTAATAAAATTACATTAGAATATAATAAGAACTAAAATTTTAAAATTTTAATTAGTTGTACTAAGTTTATATTTGAATGTTAAATAGAATCACCCCCAAATTATTATAAATTTTGAACTTAGAATATAAAGAACCCAGTCCCAGGCCTAAAATAAATATCTAGCCCACTCCAGAGTCAAACTGGGCTGGTTTTTCTCCAATTCAAGTGAAAATACTCAGATTAAGTGTATAGCCCAAATATAAAGAGATCTGTTCAAACTTAGCCCAACCCTAACCTTTAGCCCAAACTTTTTGCTCAATTCCAAAGTTTTTCTCAACAAATTTGGAACTAGGCTTGATTTTGTCAATTCAACAAACAAATTTATCATTAATTGTCCCAAAAGAATATTTTTAACAGAATTAAAGTTGGTTGGTTTCTCCACACCTCTTCCTTCCTCCGAAATTGACAAGACATTTGCACCCAAAAATAAATAAATACATAAATAAAATTCACAAGACATCAACGCTGTGGAGACATATTATTGTTGCTAGGAATGTGACTTGGTTCAAATTTGCACTACACCAAAAACCGAACCAATCGTAACCGGTTCTAGGTTTTGGGACATAACTAGGTTTTGTGGTTTTTATGAAGTTATGTATATCACAATAA